TAAGACTTAATGTTTTCTTTCTTTAAGTTATATTGAGCTTTGGGGTCTCTTTTGTACCCTAAAACAGGAATCCATCCCGAGGAAGAGGAGGGGGAGGAAGTGAATGAATCAGGAGTGGACAGACGGGAGGTGCAGCTTTGAGGCAGATGTAATGACAGACAGCCCCAGAGAACCCCAGCCAGCCCGTGGGAACCTTCAAGCCAAAATTGAAATTGTCCCCAACTGGGCCAGAGGGTTAAGCCTTATCTCCAGTGTGTTAGTATGGGTTGCCTAGAGAAACAAATCCAGAGACAATCATATGTGTATAAGAAAGAGCTGTATATAAAGAGTAATTGTATATTAAGAAAACATCCCAGCCCAGTCCAGATCAAGTCTGTAAGTTCGATATTAGCTCATATGTCTGATACCAGTCTGTAAATTCCTCTTCAGACTCATGCAACACATGCAATGACACAGAATGCAGGAAGATCACAAGCCAGTGGGGGGAAAGTCTTGCAGATCCAGTGGTGGTGGAAGCATTTAGAGCTGGCATGGGTCTCCATGTGGCTTTTCCAGCTCCAGGGCTCTGGCTCTATCAAGTGTAGCTCCATGTGGCTCGCCATCAGGGACGTCTCCCAGGGAGTGAATATGTCTTGCCTCCAGTGAGCTATTTATCTCTATAGCGCCTCCAAATGAGGTCATCAAGCTGTGACCCGATTGACAGGCTAAACTCCACCCCTTCACTCTTAATAGTCTCAAATTGACACCAGATTATGTAACTACCACACCCAGCATGGGGATGACAAGGAGCCTGGAAATCTCGGAGGGAGCTGACACTCGGGCAGCCTCCCGCCAGCACTCACCGCATCGTGGGAACGCATCCTTCATTGTAGGAGATCTGGCAGCCCAGTGTCCACCATCATGAGACTTCTGACATCCTTCAGGCCTTGCCACTGCCCTTCCATTATCAAGTCCCTGCCAGGCTCAGGTGGTGGAACACCGATCTTGCCCACTGGTTCTCTCTCTCTCTAGGTAGAACCTTTGCCGCCTGGCTGATCTCATGGCTAGGACGCATGACCAAAAGGGCAACCCCACCCCCCACCCCACCCCCGGAGAAACTGGTTGTCAGATGTAAGATCTAACCAGGGAACCAGAAGGCCCTGAGCCAGGCGGGGGCACTCTCCGGTGTGGTGGAAGTGAGGTGCTGGGCTTCGAGGGGTGACTGTGTACCTCGGTCAGCCTCACTTCTCAGCATCAGAGAAGTCAATGACCCACCACCACATTCTCACCACCCTCCATCCTCCCTCCCTGCTGCCTCGGTCCCGATCGCCCGTGGCACCACAGGGTACAGGAGCCCCTTGTCAGTGCCGTCATGCGGGAAAAGTGAGGTGCTCCTTTTCATATCAAGGACCAACAATGTGTTGAAAGACCTAGATTCACCTTCCCCCCAGCCTCCCAACTCTTGACACTCCACCGTCCGTCCACGGGTCGGCAACACTGCAGTTCTCCGAAGTCCCCTAAGGAATCACCTTCCTGGCCCTCGAAGCCACTGGTCACTAGCAATGTCTGCCCTGCCCTCTGCATGGCCAGCCCTGAGTTCTGCAGGTCTGGACACCCCTCTAGAGCGTCCCCAAGCCATGAGCCCCCGCCCTGCGTGCCAATGTCACCATGGCAGCTGCAGGGCCTTGGACTCAAGGCTGCCCTTCCCTTGGCAGCAGGAAAGATGGGCTAAGAGCCCCCTGCCTTTTGTCCCTGGTTCCTGGGAGAAAGCCTGCTACGCCTTTGGAATGTCCTGACAGATTCAAACCGGTTGCAGCGGTGGCATGACCACCTTTACCTTGGTACAGGGGGAGGAGGGGCAACTTCAGCTGCCCCGGGTGGAAGTCAGAGCCACCTCCACCCTCCGTGCTTTCACCGATTCCACACCAGCTATCCCTCCCTCTGCCAGCTTCGCTAAGGCAGATGTCAAAGTGGCCTAAAAGCACCAAGGCTCAGTCAGCAAGCCTCCTCCCCAGAGGCGCCCACTTCTTGATCCGTGGGCCTGGCTGCCACCATGTCTCTGCGACTGCTTCTCACTGATCACCACCATCTCCAGAGTTACAGCTCTCTCTGCCTGTCTGCTGGGATCCCCCTCCACTCAGAGAATTCCTTAGTTTTTGATGGCCCCTGAGGTCCATCTCTTGAATGACTCATTTTAAGCCTAGAGAGATGGGAAAACCGACCAATCCCCTTATAGGGTTTCATACACTTTATTTGTATGGTCCCACCTCCACCAGTGTGCCATGCACCTTATTTACATTATCATCGAGTAACCCAATCCAGGGTGGACCACAGACACCTCATTTACATAGCCCCACCCAGTCATCTGGAGGCTACTTGCAAAGACTATGGCAAGAAGAGTCATACTGACCAGGAATTCTCCGCACTGTAGCTGTTGGGTGGATTCAGTCCCTTAGTGACCTTACAGGACAGGGTTTCCAAGGCTGTCTGTCTGTCATCTTGATGGAAAGAGATTGCCTCATCTTTCTCCCTCAGAGCGGCTGGTGGATTTGAACTGCTGACCTTTTGGGACCACCAGGGCTGGGCTCCTCTGACTTAATGGAAGTGCCTGTCATTCAAGGAAGGAACCCTGGTGGTGGAGTGAGCTATGTGTGAGGCTGCTAACCACAAAGTCAGCAGTTTGAAGCCACCAGTGACTTCGAGGGTCAACGACCGGGCTTTCTGCTCCCAAAAAGAGTTACAACCTCGGAAACCCACAGGGGCTTCCACTCTGTCTTATAGGGTCACTGTGAGTCCGGTTTTTGGTTATTCAAGGTGAAGCAACGGACGGGGTGGGGCTGCCCCTCAATAGTTGTTGCTAACGAGTGGTCCTAGAAAGGCTCATCTTGTGATTAGGGGTTGGGGCCTTGAGTCACTTGCTCATGAGCCCACCTGTCGGGAGGAACCCTGGTGGTCTAGTGGGTCTACACTGGGCTGGTGACCCAGCTCCGCAGGAGAAAGACTGGACTTTTACAGTCTTGGAAACTCACAGGGGCAGTTTGTGCCCTGTCCAGAGGGCGGCTGTGGTCAGCCTGGGCTAGGTGGCAGCGAGTTTAGGGAGGGGATGGGCCTCAATCACAGAGCCAGTGATGTCATCTATCATCAGCGAACACCCCAGCCCCGAGTTGCTGGGTTGGCGATGGTGCTGTGTGTAGCTCTGGGCGACCAGTTCTACAATAGAACTCCTCATGATGCCGAGCTAGGGCCCACTCTGGCAGGCACTGCTGCCAATGCTTCATCCTCACGGCGTCCCGGGTGGTCACCCACCGCCATGGAGGCAGCCCCGACAAACAGCGACACTGCAGGACGGGGGCAGCTCGATGCTGACTCCTATGGGTCAAGTGAGCCCCAGCAGACTCCACAGCCAATGCTTTGTTGTATTTTATTGGGGGCTCTTACAGCTCTTATCACAATCCATCCATCCCCCCATCCATCCATTGTGTCAAGCACTTTTGTACATATGTTGCCATCATTTTCAAAATATTTTCTTTCTACTTGAGCCCTTGGTACCAGCTTCACATTTTTTATCCCTCCCTGCTGTAAGGGTTTTTGGGGCACGAAGCGGAATTAAAGATCCAATTGGTAAAGTTTTAGAAGCAGGCTTTATTGAGAAGCTTGCGGACGGGTTCAATAACTCACGTATTGAGCTAATGAAACCGCGCGAGGGGAATTTCTGGCTGCGTTTTTATATCCCCTGGTGGCAGGCACAGCTGCACACAGGGACTTCAAAGGGAAGCGCTCATTAATTTTATCTATAGGTCCGGGATGGGTGGAATAAACACATCTTCAAGGGATGCAGGGAAGTGGTCGTTAATCTTATCTATAGGTACTGGGGCAGGTGAAGTAAACATATCTTCAAAGAACATTCTTTCTCGGGGATATCTGGTTCTCAGAACTGGTGATTTTCAGCGAGGGGAGGGGAGGCCGATGTGAGGGAGGCCCATGAGAGGTGAGTTCTGAGACCCAAGAAGGTGCCGGATTCAAAATGGAGTCCCTTGTGCCAAGGCCAGACACCTGCCACTCTCCCTCCCTCACGAACCCTTGATAAACTAAATTACTATGTTCATATCTTACATCGTCTGCTGTCTCCCTTCACCCACTTTTCTGTTGTTCATCCCCCGGGGGGGGGGGTTGTTATATGTGGGTCATTGCGATCAGTTCCCCTTTTCTCCCCCTATCTTCCCCTTACCATCCTGGTATCATTACTCTTATTATTGGTCCTGAGGGGCTCATCTGTCCTGGATTCCCTGTGTTTCCAGCTCTTATCTGTACCCGTATACATGGTCTGGTCTAGCCGGATTTTTAAGGTAGAATTGGGGTCCCAATAGTGGTGGGGAGGAGGCCTTAACGAACCAGAGGAAAGTTGTATGTTTCATCAGTGCTATACTGTACCCTGACATGCTCGTCTCTTCCTTGTGACCCTTGTGTAAGGAGATGTCCAGTTGCCTACAGATGGGCTTTGGGCCTCCGCTCTGCACTCCCCTTCATCCACATGATATGATTCTTTGTTCTGGGTGTTGTTGTTTTTTTAATGACCGGCCTGTCGCTGTGTGTTCTGACCCCAATTGTTCTGCGTGAGCCCCATCCCACCTCCCTGGTGGGAATTGAACCCACATTTGTCTCAGAGCTCTCTAGCCTCACTGCCCACCTCTCAGAGAGCCCTGGCCGAGGGGCTGGAGCTGGCCAGGCCGGCATTGCCCCGGGGGAGGGTCAGGCTTCCGTCCAGCAGGTGCATGTCCACCTGGCTGAGGGTCTACCTGGAGACCCCCAGTCTGCCCTGGCTCTTCTCTTGCACATTTGGCCCCTGGCACAAAGGAGTGGGACCCCCTTCCTGACCCCAGAACCCCCAGCCCCACTCCAGACCTTTTGCCCTCGGCTTGGAGAAGTGGAGAGGCTGGCACTTGGAAAATAAACGCTCGCTGGTGGTTTATTGCCAGATGGGAGGGCTCCCCTTCCCCGTGCCCTGGGCAGTCTCCGAGGCTCTAGTCACAGCCAGGGCTGGCCTGGGGTTGGTCCGGCGTGAGGTGGCTGGTCAAGAAGCGCACGGCTGAGCGGATGCCCTCGATGGTCCGCCGCTCCACTGTCTCCAGCATGTTGGTGATGGTTCGCAGGGCTGAGCTCGTGCTTGCTGTCCAGCTGGAGGAGATGACCGAGCTGGCATTGTCCAGGAGGCTGGAGGCCGAGCGCAGGCCGGGCCCTGGGCTTTGCAGCAGGTCTGTCACCGAGCCCTGGCCAGTGGCCAGGAGGCGCATGGCCATGTCCAGAGTGGCCTCAGACCACACCAGGATGTCCTCCAGGGAGCTGATGGAGCCCTCCCCGCTGCCCAGCAGGCTGGTCATAGAGCGCATGTAATTATTCTCCTCGTCAGCCACGTACAAGCTGGGGTCCAGGGGCCTCAGGCCTATGGCCAGCGGGTGCAGGGTGGGTGAGGGGGGCGGGCTGCCCCCTGGGGACGACGGGAGGGACCAGGCCCGTGCCTCCCCGGGCGCCATCGGTTCAGGGCTCCTGGACCCCCGGCCTCTGGGATGCCACTGAGCTGTGTCAGCGTTGCCGGTGGCCTGACTCTGGGCGCTGGGATTCCTGGCCACCATGGCGAGGGGGGGCTGGCCGGTGCCACTTCCCACTGGCTGTGCCTCCATACCTGGGGAAGGTGGCGTGGATGGCCGGCTGGGGATACTCTCTTGTGGTGACTGCTCTTCCTGCGTGGGGGCCTGCTGCTGCAGAGGTTCCTGGCCCTGGCTTGTGTCGGCATCTTGAACTAGTGGGGCGCTAAGGGACACTTGCAGGGTATCCGGGACTTGGACGAGGAGCAGAGCTGTCACCTCCGTGCTGGCCTCCGGGGTGCCTTCTGACACCGACCTGGCCTCTGGGCTGGCTGGCTGGACGGGGACCTCATCCACCTCAGTGGACACGGCCGTGCTGCTGGCCTGGCCCTGAGACTCCGTGGCTGGGCTGGGCGGAGGCTGGAGGTCCACCACGCTGCTCAAGGAGGCCTGGGGGGTTACCATCTGGGGGGCTGCCGGTGCCTTCGGCCTCTCCCAAGGGCTGAGTGGTCATCTACGCCCGCTGGTGGTTTGAGGGAGTTGCCAGGGCCCTGCCAGGCTGAGCTACCCAGGTGGTGAGGTCACAGGGGACTCTGGGCAGCTGGCGATGTCACAGGCAACTATGGAGTGAGGGGACCAGTCTCCTGAGGGGCTGCTGGGGTCTGGGGCTGTGTGGGCAAAGGTGGGGCTCAACTTGGCGGTGACTGTCGGGGGGTCATGAGATGCAGACGATGACAATGGACATCCCAGGCCACCTCCGGGGCCCCCTTGGTCCATACTGCTGACTCCAGGTCAGACTCGGCTGACTTCAGCAGCCGGGAGGAGGAACAAGCAGCTACTGGCCCTGACCCTCTGGCTGAGTCTCTTTGAGGGTGGCAGGTGTGCTACCTGCCCGGGGGCCACTGGAAGGGGGTGCAGTGAGCAGTGTGTGTGGACCCTGACCCTTTGGCAGGGTGAGAAGCCAGCCGGTTGAAACACACATTTGAGAGCCCTATCCTGACTTCCAGTGAGGTGGCAGGTTAGTGTCAGGCTGCTAACCACAGTCAGTGGTTCAAACCTACCAGGTGCCCTGCAGGAGAAAGACGAGGCTTTCTGCTCCCGTAAAGATTTACAGCCTCGAAACCCACAGGGGCACCTACGTCTACGCTAGCCAAGGGTTGCTAACGATCCCAATCAACTTAGAAGCAGCATTGGGTTTGGGTCTTTTTGTTTTTTGGAGGTGGGGGGGGCTATCCTGAGTCCAGAGCTTGCTTCTCTCGCCGTCTCCCCCTCCTCTCCCAACTGGCCCACCCTGACCCCTACCTCACCCCAGCCCTGGGCGTTGGTGGCTCCCGTGCCTACCCAGGTCTCCCAGGCTGAGTGTGAGCTGTTGGCACAGTCTCATCTGTGAAAATGAGAAGCAGGGCTCTCGAGGCAGAGTTGTGATGGTTGCGTTTGTGGTCCCAGGGGCACAGTGTTCGGACCGGGCTTTCCTCAGCCGCTCGTTGCCACAGATGCGCCTCTGCCGAGGGGCCAGCCCTTTTGTCACGGGACAAGCACCCCCACTTCTTGGGCCCGTTGGGCAGAGGACAACCAGAGACCTGCAAGATGCCGAGTATCCTGGGGCCGTGTAGCTCCAGACCAACCTTCTGTGAGGATGCTGTTTATTAGGAAAGGGGTTCAGTGGAAGGTTCCAGCCTGTTGTTGGTGCACCCCGTGGGGATCAGCTGCTACCACTTCATGACTGCAAACAGGAACCCTGGTGGTGGCGTGGGTTTCACGTTGCGCTCTGAACCGCAGGGTCAGCAATTCAGGACCACCAGCTGCTCCGAGGGGGAGAGAGGAGCTTTTCTTTTCCCATAGTATCCTAGTCTGTTCTGTGGGGTCGTTATGAGTCAGACTTGAACTTGATGGTATTGAGTCTCATGGTTGACCATGGGCGAAGAAAGGAGACTTTGTCACCCAGTAGGTTAAGCACTGTGCTCCTAACCCAAGGTCAGCGGTTCAAACCCACTATGCTCCATGGGAGAAAGATGAGGCTCTCTGAGTGTGCACAGATTTCCAGCCTTGGACACACTAAGGGGCAGTTGGGCTCTGTCCCGTAGGGTCCCTGGGAGTTGGAATTGATGGCAGTGGATTCGGTCTTTTGGTCACAGGCAAGAAAGGAGCTAAACATCTCGTCCTCCCAAGGATGCTCTTGTATCGAGAGAGGGAGCTTCCGAGAGATGATGCCGTGAGTGCTGCCTTAGTCTTGTGGTGCTGCTGTAACAAACATCGACTCCCTCGCAGTGGAGGAGACTGGAAGTCAGGACTCGGGGCGCCCGCTCTAGGGGGCCAGCTTTCGTTCTAGAGGAAAGTTCTTGTCTTTTCAACGTCCGTGACCCAATACTGTCCGTCTATGGGAACGGGCAGCCTCGTCTTTCTGCCCAGGTCCAGCCAGCATGTTCAAACTGACAACCTTCCCATTAGTAGTTCAATGCTGCACTCACTGCCACCCGACTGTTGAGTCTATTTTCACTCTGTGGTGTGATAGCATGGATGGGATGTCCCTAAGAGTTTAAAAAACAAAGGAACAAATTCACTGTGGATTCTTGATGCACAGTGACCCAATAGGACAGGGTGGCAGAACTGCCCCTGACAGTTTCTGAGACATGACTCTTTACGGGAGGAGGGAGCCCCATTTCTTTCCCTCAGAGTGACTGATGGTTCGAATTGCTGACATTTTAGATCGCAGCCCAATGCATAACCACTCCACGGCCAGGGTTCCTTCCCGGGGGGCTATGAGACTGTACGTCTTTACAGGAGTCTCTGACCTCTTCTCTCTCCCTCGGGGAGTCCCGGGGCTGCTTAGCCAATCACACTGTTCATAAACCTGCCTCTCAGACTGGAGCCCTGGGTGGCTGCAGAACTCACGCCCTTCCACACGGACTTATTCCTGGGAGCGACGTGACAAGACTCAGCTGGACCGGCAAGAGGGCAGTGGAATGCTGGGGAGGCCCGTGCCCAGCGGTCTGCCGTGGCTGGGCGGCCACTCGGGGCTCTGCCGTTCCCTCTACAGTCCCAGGAGTGTCCAAGTGCTCCCTCCTGATCTCTCTCCCCCTGCGGCCTCTAGTTCTGGGCTCCTCCAACTCACTCACCGCCCTCAACTCAATACTGACTCGCCTGGACACTATG